TTTGTGGGTGCCTTATCGGCGCTGCACCTGCCGCTTGCCTCCAGCGCGAAGCGGCAGCTCAGCCCACTCTGCGCGGAGGCAAAGAGCGCAAGTGGCTCACAGGCGACAGGCCTCCGGCTGAGGAAGCTTCGTGCCGAAGGTGTCACCGGGGTTGGGCCCAAGAAATGGTGGGGTTCGTTTTAGTTGCCCAAACAAACACAACAAAACAAACACACAGGCTCAAACAGATTGACAGGACATTATTGCAACCAGCGGCAGAATGCGGATATGATTTCAAATCTGGACTCTGTGTTTAGACATTAGCTGCATGACTCACCAACCATTTTGCAGGGCGCATGTTGGGCGCACATGTTCTTCAGCAGAAACGCGCTTGCTTGCGCCCTACCTCCCCCCAAGTTCCTTCTTGCGTCAACTGTCCTTGCCCCCACATGTTTGCGCTAAAACAGCCTTCCCTTTGGACGCGTTGCACAAAGAAACACCTGACACCGTCCGGCCCGCAAGCGGCGCCTGCGGGATGGCCAAGGGCCCACCTCAGAAGCATGCGGAAGGCATGATTGCGCTTGTGTTCTTTGACTTGTTTGTTTGTTTGTTTGTTTGTTTGTTTGTTTGTTTGTTTGTTTGTTTGTTTGTTTGTTTGTTTGTTTGTTTGTTTGTGTGCTTGCTTGATTTGATTGTATCGTTTCGCTTCGTTGCGCTTCGCGTTGTTTTGACTGCGTTTGGTGTGCTTTAATTGTTTGATTGCCTCTGTGTGTGTTTCGTTTCGCTTCGTTTCGATTCGTGTTGTTTGGCTTTGTGCTTGTTGTTTGTTTTTTTGCTTGTATCGTTCCGCTTTGTTTCGCTTCGTGTTGTTTTGCTTGCGTTTGTGCTTTAACTGTTGGATTGTGTCTTTCTTTGTTTCGTTTTGCGTCGTTTCGATTCGTGTTGCTTCGCTTGCCTTTGTGTTTGCTGTTTGCTTGTTTGTATCGTTTCGCTTCGTTTCGCTTCGGGTTGTGTTGATTGCTTTAAGTTTTAAGTGCGCTTTGATTGGTTGATTGCTTCTTTGTTTGTTTCGTTTCGCTTCGTTTCGATGCGTGTTGTTTGCCTTTGTGCTTGTTGTTTGCTTGTTTGCCCGCTTCGTTTCGCTTCGTGTTGTTTTGAGTGCTTTTGTGCTTTGATCCGTTGATTGCGCCTTTGTTTGTTTGGTTTCGTGTCGTTTCGATTCGTGTTGTTTTGCTTGCATTTGTGTTTGTTGTTTGCTTGTTTGTATCGTTTCGCTAAGTTTCGATTCGGGTTGTTTTGATTGCTTGTGTGTGCTGTGGTTGTTTGATTGAATCGTTTCGCTTCGTTTCGTTTCGTTTCGACTCGTGTTGTTTTGATTGCTTTATGTGTTGTTGGTTTGGTTTTTTGGTTGTTGGTTTGCTTCGCTTTGACTCGTGTTGTTTCATGTGGCTTTGTGGTTCTTGTCTGCTTGTTTGATTGCTTGTTTCTTTGTTTGGGCTCGCTTCAGTTCGCTTCGGCGTTTCGGATCGGTTCGTGTTGCATTCTGCGTTTGCGTTTGTGTGTGTGTGTTTGTGTTTGTGTTTGCGTTTGTTTGTTTGTTTGTTTGATTGTTTGATTGTTTGTTTGTGTCTCTTTGTCTCGTTTCCCTTCGTTTCGTTTTGTTTCGGTCTGTGTTGAGTTGTTTGGTTGCGTTTGTTTGGTTGCTTGTTTGCTTGCTTGGTTTCGTTTCGTTTAGTTGTGTTTGTTGCCTTTCCTTTTTGTTTGTTTAATGTTTTCTGTGTTTGTTTGCTTGTTTGTTTGTGCGCTTGCTTCGTTTCATGTCGATCTGTTGTTCCCCACCCGACAGGAAGGGTTGTTAGATTTTATGCTGGAATCCGCGTTTGCGATGCTTCTACACCACGCCCCCACCCAGTATCCCGCCAGAGCAGCTCGCCAGTGGATCCCGCCCAGTATTCCGCAAGAGGCAGTGGATGCCGCCGAGTATCCCGCCCGAGCGGCTCGCCAGTGGATCCCACCGTATCTTGCCAGAGCGGCTCGCCAGTGGATCCCGCCGAGTATCCCGCTAGAGCTGCTCGCCAGTGGATCCCGCCGAGTATCCCGCCAGAGCGGCTCGCCAGTGGATCCCGCCGAGTATCCCGCCAGAGCGGCTCCCCGCCGAGTATCCCGCTGAGTTTTTCAGAGTAGCTCGCCAGTGGATCCCGCCGAGTATCCCGCCCGCCGAGTATCCGGCTGAGTATTCCATAATGAATGAAGCCAAGTATCCCGCCAGAGTAGCTCGCCAGTGGACCCCGCCGAGTATCCCACCACAGCAGCCCGCCTGTGGATCCCGCCGAGTATCCCGTTGAGTGTCCCAGTAGCTCAACAGCAAAGTATCCCGCCAGAGTAGCTCGCCAGTGGATCCCGCCGAGTATCCCGTTGAGTATCCCGGAGTAGCTCGCCAGTGACGAGCATCCCACTGAGTATCCCTTGCCGGTGGATCCTGCCGAGTATCCGGCCAGTATCCCGCCAGAGCAGCTCGAGTCTGGTTTTGCTTATTGTCCAGAAAGGGCCGATGGGAATTGGGAGTCGAAGTCTCTAGGATGCGGAGGAATTAGTTGTAGCGGTCGTAAGCTCGTGAGCCTGGAGGGTGGGGATTGCTCGAAGAGAAGTAATTTTGTTTGTTTGTTTGTTTGTTTGTTTGCTTGCTTCCTTCCTTCCTTCCTTCCTTCCTTGCTTGCTTGCTTGCTTGCTTGCTTGCTTGCTTGCTTGTTTTTGTTTGTTTGTTTGTTTTTGTTTGTTTGTTTGTTTGTTTGTTTGTCTGTTTTTGTGTTTGTCTGTTTTTGTGTTTGTTTGTTTGTGTTTGTTCGCCGCGTGCTTGCTTGTTTCGATTCGTCTTGTTTTGGTTGCTTGGTTGTTTCTTTGTTGGATTGTTTGACTGCCTGTTTGTTTGATTGCTTGTTGGTTTTGTTCTGTTCTCGTTTTTCTTATTTTTTACGGGGAAGGGGGAACTGGGGGGAAGCATGACGGCCGTACATTGGTGAGACTATGAACGCTGCAAATCGTTTGTCAGTCTTCTTTTGAGCGTGTAACGCTGCGGAGGCACCTGTCTTCCCAGTGTTTTTCTTTTTCCCGGTGTCTAAGTACACCTCAGAGATAGATTGTCAAAAGATGTGTGTCAGAGCATTTCAGTGTTCCATTGTTTTTTCTATGAACCTAAGGCTTTCTTTGGTCGACCACAGGATCTACTTATCAGATATTGTGTTGATGGTCTATGGAAGGGGCAAGTAGAACCAGTTATTCTCTTACCTCCACCCGAATCAGCCATTGCATGCCACCAGTTTGCAGAAGAGCTAGAGGACCAATCCTTGATGACCAAGGAACTAATGCTGTCGACACTTGCAGCCACTGGAGAATTTCAATCCTGAAGCTCCGATAGCAGCTTGGTAGCCTATGGTAAGTGCATTTCATTCACAAGAATTTAAGCAAAGGACCCTCGCGACCACAAGTTGAACACAAGTTGATACATTACTTTTTCGCTTCTCATAACTATACAGTTTGCATGGGAGCTACAAGGCTTTCACCCCCCTACCACTAACTAAGCGTATGAGCAATTAAGATGCATGTCTCAATGTGAAAAATACACTGGCCCATTAAAAAGTTCAGACCTAAGCAACTGAATCACATGAAACTTCAAGAAAGTTGTGTGAGCAAACAAGGATTTTTGCAAATAGAGGCCAAGGACTAGAAGGGGAACAAAAGCTAAAGCCGATCCAAATCCTGGACTACCTACTGGGTCCCAGAGTTCCAGTGAGTCTGGAAAGTCCCTAGAGGAGTTCTTTGCAGGAATGTTACATTGATGTTGAAATTGCAGATGCTCACTACCCTGAGTGTGGTTTCCAAGTTCGGGGGGGAGAGAAAAAAAGGAAAACGAAAATGATGTTCTGCTGTTCTTTTCTTTTTTCTTTTCTTTTTCGCCCCCCCCCCTAAAACAGTCTTAAGGTCTCAAGCCTAAACACCCCCATGCGCACGTTCAAAGGTCCAGAAGGTCACACAATGGAAGCCCCTGTTCAGAAATAGAGGCAACTACAAACAAGTTTTGACAAGACGGGCAGGAAAGAGACATCGTAGAAAAACAGGCTCCTCTCCAGCGCGACCTTCTGCTTCTTTTTGTTGCTTTCTTCTTTGCGGCTTTCAGCGGACCATTAAACCGCCTACTTGTCTTCCGGCTTGCGAAAACTCTCTGCAAGCCAGACCAAATGTGTAAAATTGGATTCCCGCCAGCTCCCTGCAAACTCAGTTGCGGCAACCAGGGGTCCTGCAGGTGGTTTTGATGTTAGAGGCGGTTGCCCATTTACCCTCAACAAGAAGTAGATGTTCCAATGACCAAGCCCACCAATCTAAGTAAGGGGTACTGATGAGTGGGAGCACCCATTGACGACAAAAATCACATCTAAAATCCTGCTTGACCCGTTCCGCCAACCTGAAATGCGCTTTAGCCGGCACTCTCAGGTTTCCACTGGCTCTCAAACCCCCCGACGTTGCTAATCCGGCTGAGATTTGACATGACGCTGAAATCGAGAAGCAACCTCTAAACACAAACCTACGCCCTAAATCCCAAAATGGTTCCTTCTTGGCTTTAGATTTCGTCTCTGCAACAGTTTCCGTTTTTGCCTTCTTCCCTCGAACACTTCAATAAACCCTGGCCCAAGCCAAATCCAGCTGATGTCGTGCAAAACTACTCAAGAAGAAAGAGAAGCAACACTACTAGACCAACCTACACCTTAAAACTCTACACTGAACTCCTAGGCCTTTGTCAACAAGTCCGTATTCAGTCGGCTTTCGTTGTCGTGGGGGCATCTTCAAACACCATCGGTGCCGAGCAAGACATAATCATCTTATTAAACTTGCTAAGTTGAATATCTGATCATTTCATGAAAGGTATTTGTTGTTCCTAAATATGCAGTTAAGTCATTCAATGGTTGACTTGATTAGTTGGAATCGTTGCTGAGTACCATCTTGCCTAAAATGCACTCATTGTTTGC